AAAAACAAAAAAAAAACAAAAAAAAAAAAAAAAAAAAATATATATATATAGTTCTGCATTATCTGTTTATTTATTTTAATGTTTTATTATTATTATTATTTTAAATGTATTACATATTACAGTGATTACTGTTGTAATTATATTATTTATTTTTTTGTATTTGCTCTGTGAGTTGTCAATAAATAAATCATTTAACCAAAAATAAATTAAAAAAATGAATGAATAAATAATACCCCAAGTGTGGGTATTGGGAGAGGACCATGGTCTTCTTTACAGTGGTCATCTGGGTGAGCGTTACGTTGCGTATTTAATATTCATTGCCCAAGCCTTTACCATAGTAGGTTTCGTCCTTTCACTTCCTGTAAGTTCGGAGTGCTACTCCACCCCCTGAGCGTCAGTTGTGTGTTGAAGATAATAATAGAAACAGGGTAGGGTCCAACAGACAAACGCGCTTCAGCCGAGTGCGATTTCGCAATTTAATGACATAAACAGGAACGACAGGACTGAGGAAACGCGTTTGATGTCTCGCGGTGAAACGGCTTGACACGACGCACGCGGAGTTTAGCGATCGACAGAACTGCGCTACTTCAGAAACTATACATGCGCTCAAATAACTTGCGCTTCAGGACATCGATGCATTTTCGAGAGTGTAATATCGTTTCTTCGAGTCGTGACGAGCGTGTGCGTGATCAGTCCTTGATCTATGCAGTTATTCAATTCTTGCCGTTTTTTTCCCGTCCAGACCTATATGCTGCTAAGCGGATTTTAAAATGTTCTTCTAAAAATGAAACGATAAGCGCCTTTATCGTAGGTTGTCGGTGCTGATGACATCTCATCATTTATTTGTTGGTTTGGTGCCACTAGTAGAGCTACCAGGAATGGCAGCTATGAAGTGTGCCGGTTGAGAAGCTGTACTGTTGGGGTTGGGGTCCTTTACCAAACTGGTGAAAAAATGAATTCAGATCCGGAGGCCATTTCTCTTAACATACCCTCTCTTGACCAACTCCTAGACATGATGGGAGGGAGTAATGGAGAATCCAGTGGCAGCGTGAACCCTGGTGCTGGGGCCTTCTGGCAGGACCCCTCCAGCTGTAAGAGCGCCAACCCTGGGGTGATCAGTTTGCCCTCAGACAGTGGTACCTTGTTGACCACGGGTAAATGTAAGAGCCGAGCCGTACAAGTGGCCTACGTGAGGAACTCTGAGACGAGCCAATCTCTCAGCCCAGAGAACATGGCTTTACAGTGTCTGAAGGATGCTTGTGACATTGTGGGGTTTAAACTAGATATAGTCCCCTTTGGGAAGCTGGACTTTGGTGAAACATCAGTTCTTGATCACTTTTACAATGCTGGTAAGTTAAGTCTACTGACAGACGTTTTGGGGAATGCCCTGCAAATAAATGTGAATGTCATTTGCTGAGTGGGCATAAATATTGCTGTGAACAGTTTGTTGACAACCCACATGCTTGGTGGTCTTTAGCGTGTTTGGTCTGCCTGGTTTCTTTCTGTTTGGTTTCTTACCTTTATCCAGGAAAGTTCTCCGAATGAAATGATGGTATCACTCTCTCTCCCACATGCACACAACCCAGGGTGAAGTGCAGTGTCTTCACTCTCATTTCCATGAGAAATGACTGGCATTTAAACTTGAATGGAAATGAAGTTTTGCGCAATAGCTTGAAAATAAATGTTTGAACTGCAGAGAGGCACATTCTTGTTCAAATGTTTAAATATGTCACTTTCACAATAATCAGAGCTGCATGCATTTCCTTAGAAATTGTAATCCCTTGCCTAAGTCAAGCGGAACTAATGAAAGTAAAACCAATAGGGCTGAACCTTGTGGTTTTCCTTCATCCCAAAACACTAAATAACAACACAATTCCTTTACCTGAACCTCTGTTTTTTTTATTATGCATTGCAAAACTCTCCTCATCTGTGAGATCACTGCATTCATTGACAAAATGCTGAATTTAAAGTAGTTTGATTTAATCATTTTGCAAATGTTGCAGGTATATGCAGCAAGTTAGAAACCCTAAAAATAACCAAATAACACCCATAACTGTAGAATAAGTGGAATGATAGTATTGAGGTAAAATAAAGTGATATGAAATTGATTAATCATTCATTAATTCATAATTCATTCACCATGTCATTTAAAACCTGCATGACGTTCTTCCTTCTGTGAAATGCATGATAAAATATGTTGACAAATCTTCTTTTCTATACAAAGACAATATGTTCAAGTAAAGTTCTGAAAGGACAGAAGTGCACCATAAAAGATGTCCATACAACTCCAAGTCTTCTGTGGTCATACAACAGCGATTGTGTGAGATTCAGTGGTTCACAAGGGTGAAATCCAGATAATAAACCAACCAGGCTAGCAAATTGCACACTTAAGTAGTGGCAGATTTATGTTTTATACAGTGTTTGACATTGTTTTGAGATTATGAGCTGATCATTTTTGTATACGTCTTATTTGTTATTAATTTGTATTTTATATGCTTCATTATATCAGCCTTATTTTGGCCGTCAACCACCCTGCTGTTTAGATTCTAGTGTTAGACATTGGTAAAACCTAACTTAAGTGTTAAATTGAATGAGTTACACATTTAAAAAATACTCTGGTTTTTTTTGTACAGGACTGACGTATAGAATTGTTTGTATGAAATCCTCAAGTTAAAACAGACATGCTGAAAATTCAGGCTGTAAACATAAATGTATTATCATTTGCATATTTTTTGGTCTATAGATACATCTCTTTATTATTATTTTACGCATTTGGCTGTTTTGATGAGTGCATACAGTACATAATTTGAGCCTGCATGTTTTATCTATAGATCAAAGGTAGCATGTTTTACATACTTGTAGCATTTTAAAAAGGCTTAAACGTGTTTTAACTGTGGATGCGTAGGAGGGTAATTGTACTTCTGAACTGTGGGAGTTTTTGAAGGAATAATGGTTTGTAGTGGAGCACAATCTTATCAAAGGTTTTTTTTTTTTTTTTGCGTTTGATTACAAGAAAGTCTGCAATGCTCTTGCATATTATGGTTATCTCTGCAAGGGCTGGTCATCAGATAGAAGTCTCCTTTTTTTCTTTTTCTTTTTTTTTGAGAAAAGTTGTGCAGTGATAGACTTAAGTCTGATTTTGTGCTAGCTGAACAATTTGTGTTGTGTAATACCATCAACAGAGTATCTGAGGTCACAGGCTGCATACGAATAGTGGTATAAAAAAGGAGTACTATGTTCAAATTCATAATATTCTTAAAACCACAGTCCAATAACAACATGATGAATGTAGTTCATCCAGGTTATATTTATACTGTTTAGTACATAAATTGTATTAGTTATTCAGAAGTACCTACTCAATGTACAGTATGCTGTTTACCTGGGTATCGAACGTTCAGCCAAAGAAACGTTGAAATCTTTTTCTGCAAATTTCCATTCAACAAAAATGACTGAAAAATGTTAGTTTTTCATGTGAAAATTAGACATGGACTAGTACCTTACAGGTGAGCATTTCATTATCGCCTAATGTAAAAAAATAGTCAGCTATAGGTAGGCCTTAACAATTTGCTGGATTAATTACACTATAGGAACTATATAAAAGGTAGCATAACAGGAGCAACCTGTTCATCCAAACAGTCAAAGGGGAGTATATCTGTAAACTAGTTATTGGAAATGTGTTATCGAGATGCTTATTTTGTTTCAGGTGTCCTTCTCATTTCTTGTACTCTGATGAACTCAGTAAGTAGCACATTCCTTTTACATTAGATGAGGCCCCGCTAGCTCGTGCTGAATGGTTTTCAGTTCATATCCTTGTTCAGCCGTCTAAAAACATATGAGAGCTGTAATTACTCACTCTAAACGAATGACTAAGATTTCATAGTAGTTTTTCACATTTACTGTTGTAATAAAAATATCAGAAATATTCAAAACCAATACAGCGGATAGATTTTTAGACTAAATGACCAATGGTATGTGAGCATTGGTTGGAAAATAACACCCACCGAGAGCCAAATGCGTGTGAATTTCCCATGATGCATATTTGGAAAAGATATTACAAGAACAACAGCAGATAGTAACGGTTCATTGGTATGTGGTTTCCAGCAGCATAGCAGTCAGCCTAGAGATTCATGAGAGTTTTGGACAAGTTACAATTTCTTAATTACTTTCTGTAAATTCTAGTGGAATGCTGATCACATCTCTCAGCCTGTAAGTGCATTACTTCACAGACATCCTTTGTTTTTCAACATGAGGGATGAGTCGAAATGATTGACTGTGGTAATCAACAAGAAGTTACAGATGTTCACCACAAATTTTGTTTTGAACCACATTCCTTTAATGGCATTTTATAGGATGAGTAATTATCAAAAATGAAAGAGTTGTTCTTTGAATTGCTTGGTACTTGGTCCGTTTCTAAAAGCAAATCTTTTTGTTTTTAACTATAACAATAGTTTTGCTACCCAATCTCATGAACGGGCGTATAAATAGTACACCAAATAAAAACGAAAACTCATGGTATTGATACGCAAAAATGGAATTTGGCGTGTATATGCTACGCGATGAGTAGGATTACGTGTAGATGCGTATCATATGTACGCGAAAACTGTGTATCATATGCACGCCAACAAATTTTGTATCATATGCACGCGAAAACTGCGTATTATATGCACGCCAAACACGTGCGTGTCATATATACGCCAAAGTCCATTTTTCTGTATCAATACCACGAGTTTTCGTTTTTATTTGGCGTACTATTTATACGCATTTTCATGAAACCATATTGATACGCAAAAATGGACTTTGGCGTGTATATGCTACGCGATGAGTAGGATTACGGGTAGATGCGTATCATATGTACGCGAAAACTGTGTGTCATATGCACGCCAACAAATTTTGTATCATATGCACGCGAAAACTGCGTATTATATGCACGCCAAACACGTGCGTGTCATATATACGCCAAAGTCCATTTTTCTGTATCAATACCACGAGTTTTCGTTTTTATTTGGCGTACTATTTATACGCATTTTCATGAAACCGGGCTCCTCGGCCATAAACTTGGTTTGGGTGGAAACCTCCATTGAAAGGAAACATTTATTTTGTAAAGCCCTAATGTGCATGTGCATCCACCATGAAATGTTCATAACAATGTGACTTATTCATAAAATGGACACTCTGTTCTGCAAGAAGAGCCCCCTACAAAGCTATGTAATAGGCAGAATATCACTATTGCCTTTGTTGCAACATATTTAACTTGTACAACTGTTTTTGTTACAGGAGCATCCAGTGTGATTGTAGGACATCCACTTGACACAGTCAAGGTATCGAGACAAATCCTTGTTTTGTGATTCATTTTGTACAAATCCTATAGGCTATTATATATTTATTATATATTCAAATATTATAAAATTATGTAGTTCATATTATATATCTATTTTTACATACAAAGGTAGTCGGTATTACTTTCTAAGTTACTTATGTTTTCCCACTGGTATAAAATCATTGGTTAGGAATGAGGTGTCAGTCCAGGCAATAATGAAAAAATTCCTTTATGCTCTTTTACAGACTCGTTTACACGCTGGCAAAGGATACAGGAACACTCTCCACTGTGTTGTAACAATCTATAAAAAGGAAAATGTAAGGCTCAATGACTTCTTCTTCATAATTGAATTAAAAATTTATACGCATTTTCATGAAACCAGGCTCTAGTTTTGATAGTTTCTTACTATCTTTGATTTTTTTATTTACTTCTATGAATACAGTTATACATATACATATTTTACACATTTATATTAATCATTAATGAACTTTATCAATGTTTTTATTCTGTATCATTAACTTTTTTTTTTTAAGTTTTAATATTCCTGATAAACGACAGTGGACGCAGTAGCATTTCGTTCTACTGTTCCGATGCTTCCTGCCATGTTTGCATAGCTTGTCACTTTGTTTCTGATGTGCATGGCCCCAAACTTCTTCCAGCTATATTTATGAATACTTTCTGTTTTCCAAATGAAATTACATCATCAGGATGGGGGGTATTTTGGCTGGAGAATCACCTTAATAGCCTCTCCTGAACTTGGGGAAACTTTTTATTGTTGAGCTATTGTATTGTTCTGGCAATCCTTAAAGGGATACTCCACCCCAAAATGAAAATTTTGTCATTAATCACTTACCCCCATGTCGTTCCAAACCCGTAAAAGCTTCGTTCATCTTCGGAACACAATTTAAGATATTTTGGATGAAAACCGGGAGGCTTGTGACGGAGTCCATGCCTGTACAGTTTTTCTCTATTGCTATCACAAAGTTTATGAAACAGTCCAGGTCAAAATCAAATATTTTAGTCAAAAACATATTCTCTTTCAGTATACAACATAAACTGAGGGGTGCCGATATACAGTGATATTTTCATTTCGCTATACATTTACAGTATATGAAAAGAGAAGAAAAGTTCAAATACCAAAGAATTGAATGTCAACTTGATATGCAACACAAAACAGGATACTGTAAGTTACATTACATTAAAAAATAAATTGCATTGCAATATTGTAAATAGTGGTCGACCGATATATCGGCCGATATTTGGCATTTTTCAAATATCGGCATTGGCCGATAAGTTTTTCCGGTTTGGCCGACATTTATTTTGACGGCGCTGAGAGCGGCAGCGACTGAGCACACAGTGCTCACATTCTCCCTCTTGTTCGCCGTTGTCGTTAACAGTTAACAATTATTAGTAATATAAAAGCAAACATTATAATACTGTCTCGTTTTCCGTCAGCATTCAGCAAATACGCATTTAAATCATTTGAACAAATCTTTGAATGTCTATTAATGAACATTTAATTTCACAAACCTTGCAGACTTAGTCGAATCTAGATGAGATCTTGTGAAGTGTGCGTTTGTATCCTGCATGATCGCATGTTCTCTACGTGACGGTTGGTCCGTGTGTATTGAATGCTGACAGGAGGAGAGTTCAGCTTCACTGGAGATGCGTGATCGACAAACTTTAAACTCGTGATTTCAAATTATGCTGCGACCCATTTGCCCACTGCCATATTCATGTCATTTTCACTGTGTGCTGTATGTAAAATGACTGTTACCTTGACTTTATTTGAAAAAATATGATTCCCAATGCACACAAACTTCCCAGATTACTTAGTGCCCTGTTGGTTACAATATTGATGTTTTATTAAATATTTATTTATTTGTGAAAATTACATTGTCATCTAAAGTAAATATTAAAAATAAAATTATATCGGCTTTATATCGGCAATCGGCCACCATGCTCTCCAAGATATCGGCTATCGGCATGGCTGTCAAAAAACCCATATCGGTCGACCACTAATTGTAAATGGCCTTATTTGCCATACCTATAGGTAGTCGTCTCTCAGTTCCTCAAAATACAGTACATGTAAGAAGTACTTGGCTACAAATCAATTTGACATTTACGAGTTTGAGGGTGTACAACATGCTACAGTATTTACAGTACATAGAATAGAAATGTTCTCTCATCTAAAGTATTGCTACTACTGTACTTATACTGTATGTGTAAGTAGTATAAAAACCCTGTAGGCGAACTTCCTTCATGGTCATTCCATGCACAAGAAAATGTGTCTTTGTTTCGAGAACTAAATGAATGGTTTGGGAAATTGGGCAAAATGAATCCGTTATAGTGTGTTAGCAATCAAGAAAAAACTGTAATATGAAATATGAGCCTTATATGCATTCATTGTAGACACTTCTGTACACGGGAGAAGAACATGGATTATCATATGTTTACTTGAAATTTCTTTAAAGAGAAATATTATTTTTACCCAAAATAGGATGGAATGAGCATTACTGAGCGTTAAACACATTTATACTCGTAGCCAGAAGAAAACTCCACATATGGATCACAAAAGTAATAGAACTTCCAGGAAATTCCTAATATGGATAAAGGCATCCAGCTATCGCTGTACCTAATAAAAGGAAGATAGAAACATTTAGACAACATATAGTTTGTTCTTCAAGCCATATTGGGTGTTTTCATAATAATGGAGTGTATTTATAATGCATTGCTAATCTAAATATCCTTTATAACATTATAGAATATATTTTCTGCCTCATTCTGTGATAAGGAAGCTACATCACAAAATGAAGTTTTTTCAAATGTTCGACTTGTGTTGTGGAATAAAACCATGTTATTAAATGTTCTCTTTTGTTAGACAACAGGCTTATAAATGCTTCTCATTACAAATTTGGAAAGATGCGTTGCTTCTGTTGAGTTGTTATAAGCAACTCAAACTAACAGTGCTTGCAGAGATGGAGCAGCATTTACCACTGACTCTGTGCATATATTTTTTTAATTAAAAATCACAACCTTTGCCATTTCAGTAAGCGCATTAATCCAAATCATGATTTCCATTTTATTCTGATTAATCGTGTAGCCCTCTTCCAGCTTTCAGTACACTTCCAACATATTGAATGGTCCACACTTGCTTCCCTCACAGCGTCATTTCTATCTTTGGATACTCTATTGCATTCAGTAATTATATTGTGCAGCCAGTCCAGCCAATACAGTCTGGCATGTCAGCATGGTGGATTTCTGCCTGTCTGCAAGCAACATCGATCCTCTTTGTTTAAACAAACTCACAATAATACTCAGAAAACCTAACACTCAAACTCAACTAAGCCTCATTCGAAGCTGTACTTAAAATGTACTTTTAAGTTTTAGTTTCATTAATGAAAATCAAGGCTTGATTTCAGTTAATTAAAAGTTTTGCAATCTTGCTAATAAATACTCATTGCTTGTTGTCTGTATTTTGGCTATATGGTAATTAGTTACGTAGCAACATGATTAGAGGATCTTGTATGCATTCAAATCAAGCATTTTTTCAGCTTCCTGTCATTGTAGGAATGTGCAAAAGCTACAAATGTTCATAATCGACAAGTCAGTCTATAGAAACCTCTGTATAATATGGCTGTAGCATGTCCACTAGACCCCAATCAGAGGCATTTCTTTGCAGTAAATTCATACCAAGACCTTCAAGAGGGTAACTAGCAGATATTCAAATAATAAACAGACTGCACAAAACTGTCTGTGCTTATAAGAAAGGGTCCGGCACAAAATCACATTCACTAAAGTTGTGTATCTCAGTTGTTTGAGAATTGTAAGCTTGCCATTAAAATACTGAACTCACTAATCATTTGTTGGATGACTACTAGCTCATCCCAGCCTCGCATGACATTTCCCATTGATATGATTTGTGCACTTTGTGTGACTGAATAAAGTAATGTCTGTACACGTGCAGAACTGTGACCGATTTATGTGGGAGAATTCGAAACTACATTTGCATGTGTGAAGTCTAAAACAGATTTCCTTTTGTGAATTGGAATGCTAGATCTTGTATTCACAACTGGAAATGATCATCGTTGTCACATTGACAGGTTCCAAACCTGTATGACTTTCTTTTTCCATGGAACATTAAAATAAATAAAATTATATCGGCTTTATATCGGCAATCGGCCACCATGCTCTCCAAGATATCGGCATCGGCATTGGCTGTCAAAAAACCCATATCGGTCGACCACTAATTGTAAATGGCCTTATTTGCCATACCTATAGGTAGTCGTCTCTCAGTTCCTCAAAATACAGTACATGTAAGAAGTACTTGGCTACAAATCAATTTGACATTTACGAGTTTGAGGGTGTACAACATGCTACAGTATTTACAGTACATAGAATAGAAATGTTCTCTCATCTAAAGTATTGCTACTACTGTACTTATACTGTATGTGTAAGTAGTATAAAAACCCTGTAGGCGAACTTCCTTCATGGTCATTCCATGCACAAGAAAATGTGTCTTTGTTTCGAGAACTAAATGAATGGTTTGGGAAATTGGGCAAAATGAATCCGTTATAGTGTGTTAGCAATCAAGAAAAAACTGTAATATGAAATATGAGCCTTATATGCATTCATTGTAGACACTTCTGTACACGGGAGAAGAACATGGATTATCATATGTTTACTTGAAATTTCTTTAAAGAGAAATATTATTTTTACCCAAAATAGGATGGAATGAGCATTACTGAGCGTTAAACACATTTATACTCGTAGCCAGAAGAAAACTCCACATATGGATCACAAAAGTAATAGAACTTCCAGGAAATTCCTAATATGGATAAAGGCATCCAGCTATCGCTGTACCTAATAAAAGGAAGATAGAAACATTTAGACAACATATAGTTTGTTCTTCAAGCCATATTGGGTGTTTTCATAATAATGGAGTGTATTTATAATGCATTGCTAATCTAAATATCCTTTATAACATTATAGAATATATTTTCTGCCTCATTCTGTGATAAGGAAGCTACATCACAAAATGAAGTTTTTTCAAATGTTCGACTTGTGTTGTGGAATAAAACCATGTTATTAAATGTTCTCTTTTGTTAGACAACAGGCTTATAAATGCTTCTCATTACAAATTTGGAAAGATGCGTTGCTTCTGTTGAGTTGTTATAAGCAACTCAAACTAACAGTGCTTGCAGAGATGGAGCAGCATTTACCACTGACTCTGTGCATATATTTTTTTAATTAAAAATCACAACCTTTGCCATTTCAGTAAGCGCATTAATCCAAATCATGATT